GAAGGTAGAGGTGCATCAAGGAGCCAAAGCCACAGAGCTTTGATTATAGTATTGCTACAACTGGCCTGTTACTATTAATGTTGCTATTGTTCTTTCTTACTTCTGTTAATTTGCAAGTTGACTTTATCATAGGTGGACATGTTTATGTAAAAGCGCGGTATTTACTGGATTCGAAGCTATCGGCAGTCTCAGGCATCTGCTGGGGAGTCTTGAGAAGAGGGGTGCTCTATGCGTTTCATTCTTTGGGACTTGCTAAGATACTGTCCTGAGTTGCTGTTTCAGCCATCGAGTGTCACGCTCATGCTCTTCGGTTCCTGCCACTGTGAATGGGGGACTGCACAGGCCAACGGTGCTCACAACCCCACTTGGTGATCAGAGGCTCCTTCAGCCCACTCTTGTCTCTATAAACCCAGACTATGCTTTCGTTAGGAAAAGGACTCTATGCCTGTACCACTCAACCCCTCCCCACCTGACGAGCAGTATTGCTAACCACAGACTGCTGGGAGAGCTGTCCTAGCAAGCCGTTCCTCCAGCATCGTGAGGAACAATGCATCATTCCCTTGGAGTGTTTGCTCATTCACATTTTTTTGAAAACAGGTCTCTAGTCAGTCCAGTAACTCATATCCTTATTGTTTATGCCAAATGCTTCCAGAACGTTCCTTTTTGTTTGGGTTGGAGGAAGTAGAGATGAGGATGATGGGTATCTCAGGCTGGCTGGAACTCATTAAATAACCAATGGTGACCTTGAATTTGATCTTTCTGCCTTTGGCAGCTGAGAGCTGGGATCACAGGCACACACCATCACATCCTATTCCATCTGTGTTGGGGACTGACCTCAGAACTCCCTGCATGCTGAATGAGCAAGCACTGTACCAACTGAGCCACACACCTATAAAAATCCCAGAATATGTCAACTTTTCAAATCCCCCATCTATCTGTCAGTCAGCTGCTACATAGGCCACTTTGCAACTCTAATAGTAAGCATATGAGTTAGTCACGCCATAGTGGGGTGTCAGGATTGACACTGGGGGAGAACACAGATCCGGGCTACTTCACTGATTTCCAGACTCATTATCAGCGCTGCTCCAGCTTCTGCAAGGATGACAGCCTAGTGCCCCCTGCTGGTCTTTCAGGGTAAGACAGAGACGCACTAAAATGCCCAGTTCTCCCCCCACCCAGTCCCATCCTGTTGTAATAAGATTACCAAACACAAGATAGGGGTGATGTGGGCTACTTTTATTGGGGAGAAATCACTTACATGAGAAACCGATAACCCAGGGTCAGTGCTCCGAGCATCCAATCTCAGCTGCCGTCTGAGATCCGACCAGAACCCGAAGAGAGCCAGCCTGTCCCCCTCCTCAGGCCTAAATCCCACATGCCCTAACGGTGTGGTCAACACCACAGGTACATAGTAAGATCTCTCCCTACAAGCCCCTCCCCAAAGAAACAAAGAGACTCTGAAAGAAGTTTTCCCCCACACAAGCAACAATTTCTTCAAGAGAATTTTATAAGAGCCACAAGTAGGGCCGGGTGTTGGTGGCACATGCCTTTAATCCCAGCACTCAGGAGGCAGGGGCAGGCAGATCTCTGTGAGTCCGAGGCCAGCCTGGTCTACAGAGCAAATTCCAGGTTGCCCCATTTGCCAGTGAGGCCTATGCAAAAAAGCTTCCTCTTTTACAAAAAAACAAAAAATCAACAAAAAACAAAACAAAAATACGCAGAATAGTTTTTCATTAAAGCCCTCTGGAATTTGGGACCCCCCCCTTTAAAATACACATTGATGTTTTGCCTGCATGTGTGTCTGTGTGAGGGTGCCAGATCCCCTGGAACTGGAGTTAGACAGTTGTGAAACTGCCATGTGGGTGCTGGGAACTGAACCTGGGTCATTTGGAAGAGCCCCTGAGCCATTTCTCTAGTCCAGAATTTGGTTATCTTACTGGGCCATACTTTCAAAATACAACATATAGAGTAACAAGTGGTATTCTTCTGGCTAAAAAGGCAGAAAAATGGTTGAAAACCGTTTTCTAATTTTCTTCTGAAAAGAGGAAGTGGCGAGTGAAATCCTGACCCAGCAGGAGGCCCAGGATCCTGAAGTGTTCTTGTGGCTGAGATTATCAGAGGGGCCTTACTAGTGACACTGACTGGCTCCTTGCTTTTTATATTGGGGTTCTAGGTACCTCCTCACAAGTCCCTGGGAGGTAGTATGCATGACAGAATTTATTTTCTGTTAAAAACCAAACCAAAACAGCAAACACTACACAATAAACAGGCTGCAGGGGAAAAGAAGGCAACTGCGGGAGTCGGTTCACCCCTTCCTACCAGGTGGGACCTACCTGGTCATTGGACTCAGGTCATCCAGCTTGGTTGCAGGCCCTTTTTCCCCACTGAGCCATATTGCCAGCCCATCATTTGATTCTTAATTCAACTTCCCAGGAAACCTTTCCTGTGTTTTCTTTCAGACTTGGTGTATAATAAATTTCTCAATAAAACAAAGTCCAACAGTACAACTGGGTGTGGCTCAAACATGTTAACGCCCGCACTTAGGAGGCTGGGACAGGAAGACTGGGTGAGCTCAAGGTCAGTGTGAAATCCTGTCTCAAAAGATAGACACATAACATAAAGGCATCAAACCAGAGTTGCACACTCCAAATCCCTGGACAGCACTCAGGCTCTTCGCAATGCACACCTTTAATACGGTCTATTGAAGTCAGATCTAACACAACTGTAGCATACCATCTATCTCCACTTAAACTGCAACCTGGGTACAGACCAGGTGAGGAAAACCCGTGGGCCAGGCAGTCCTGTGATGGAGGGAATAGACCAACCCCTAGGTCAGAGAAGTATTTACAAAAGCAGCTGCTGTGGGGCATGGCAAATACACACCTGTAACCCCAGCACTCAGGAGAATAAGGCAGGAGGATCTCAGATGTCAGACTGATCTGACGGCAAGGCTGTCTCGAGAAATGTAACAAAAATTAAACCAAAATGCAGACTAGCTGCCTTGCTGTGTTGCACCCTTCCCTCATGGGGGTCTGTTGACCAGCTTGTGACTAGGAGCTTCTAGCAAAACATTTCTTGTCCCTTCCTCCCAGTAAGACCTGCTTGCAAGTTCCTGTTTTCTGTCCATCCTTATGGTCTAAATGCTAATTCCTGGGTTTGGCCCATCCTTTGTGGGAGGGCCCTGGGAATGTAGGCTTCTGACCTTGGTGGTTTTCCACCGTGCCTGACTGATATATAAGGCTCCACTCTTGTAAAAATAAACGCCATTCTCCTTGTAAGAATGAGCCCGTCTTTGTCTTTATTTACATCCTTAGCCCTTTGCTCGGATCCTTGTGAAGTGTTGTAGCCCCATAACCGCCAACAGCTTGCTACATTGCTGAGATAAAGGGAGTCAAACCCAAAAGGCATTTCTACCTCTACTTTGGGGATGAGAAAATGCCCTGGGAGGGCTGGCCCTGCCTGGGTTTTCAGTTTTAGGCTTTGTCAGGACATCAGGTTAATGGAAGGTTTGCAGGGAGTGAAGGGATGATTGATACTTAAGTGCCTCATAGGGACAGGTCAGGTTTCAGCTCAGTTTGTGGGTTTCTGGGTCCCAAGAGCCACCTTTAGTGTAGGAATGTTTGGTGGCTCCACCTGTGACCCAGGCAGTCACTTTTTTCTTAGGGCAGTACCTTCAAAGCCGCCGGCAGCAGGGCCAGACACACCCACATCACCCGGTCTTCCACGGCTTCCCTTCTAAGTTTTGGGTTAATGTGTGCCAGTGTTTTGCAGGTGTGCTGATCTGTGTACCACACGCATGCAGTGCTCACCGACACCAGAAGAGGGTGCTGGGACCTCTAATGGATACTCTCCAGCCCAGCTTCCCCCCTCACAGCTGGTCCCTGTAAAGGACACAGGGTGGTGGCACTAGGTGTGAAAGAAGGGGACAGTGCCTGCAGCCCGCTCAGCTCTGGAACCCCTCTGGCTGGTCTGGGGCTGAGATACAGGAAGACACATCAGTTTTCAGTGGCTTCCTGGTGCTTTGGTGGAGGGTGGGTAGGAAGGAGGATTTTACCAAATGTAGCAAAACCTCATCTGTATGTGGGGAGGAAAGACTGTTAGGATTCCTGAGCTGACATGTTTCCAGGGTCTAATTATGCTTTTTACCCAACTCCTAGGACTCTTCAAAGTAAACTTCAATCCCATTTCCCCATACTCACAACTGATACAGAAAATGCCAAGAGCACAATTATGACAATTGCTTTAGAAGTGTATTTTCTTCACATTTCCATTTTATCTAAAGCAACAGCACAAAACCAAAGTGTTACACACACACACACACACACCTTAAGACAGTCTTTTTCTGTAGCCTTGGCTGGACTGGAATCCACTCTGTACACTGAGTTGCCCTTGATTCAGAGATCCACCTGCCTATGCCTCCCAAGTGCTGGGATCAAAGGCACGCGCCACTACAGCCAGCTGAGCTGCATTTCTGAAAAATGGGCTCAGCACTCCACCCACATGCTTATTTCACATTATGTGACACCTGTATCAGATAACTGACAACTTAAAAACTATTTCCTAAGCCAACCATACATTAGGTTGGCGTGATAGCTCAATATTTATTGTCAACTTGAATGCATTTACAGTCATCATGAAACACACTTGTTGGGGATGCCTACAAGGACGTTTCCAGAAAGGTTCAAGTAGGGAGGAAGACCCACCCTGACTGGGTAGCTCTACCCTACAGGGTGGGGCCGGGACCTGAGCAGCAGCACTCATCTCTGTGCTTCCTGACTGTAGAAGCCATGTGACCAGCTGCCATGTTTTCCGTCATGATGCCTACTCCTCAAACTGTGAGACCAAATAAACCTTACTCCATTAAGCTGTTTTTGTCATAGCTAATAGCATGCTATTTGTCATTCTTGCTCTGCATCCAGGTCCTCAGAGCAGTCTGCAGATTCTTCCCCTTCACCCAGTGAGCACCAAAGCCAAACAGATAGTTAGGAGAGACACATGGCTGTCAGTCTTTATTTGTTTGTTTTATTTTGTAAAGTACAACTACTTACGGCCATGAATAAAAGCTTGCCAATCCTGGAGGCAACTAGAGTTTCTGCTGCTAAGGGTACAGACTGACTTCCAGAGCAGCTGCCCCATCTCAGCATTCCTTGTATGTCTTCTTATGATACCTGGGGATCAAAGGGCCTGCAAAATAAAGACTTGAATTTCAGGCTTGTCCTTAGAAAAAAGAGCAAGCATCCCCAACACTGGCTGGCAAGGAAGACGCAGGGCACTGCCCCATCTGTCTTCATACTTTACTTGGCTCAGGTTTCCCACTGAGCCAGGATTTAGTAGACTTTCTGCTACTCGGATGCAAACAGGTCACCTACAGCAACACCCTTGGTAACTGGAGGCTGTGTAGCAGTACTTAAGTGTCCAACAGAAACCACTCTGTCTGCTAAACAATATCTTAACTGCAAAGCTGCTCTAACTGTTGGTGGATCGACAATGGCACGGCACAGCCATCATCACCGTGGCAACAGTACCCAGAAGCTATCAGAGGAACATTGCACATGGAACTGATGGCTCTTGAGCAGGCATGCCTCAGCTTCCTCTGGAGTCTGCTTTTTCTGCAAGTCTGGTATGCTCTAGGGTACCACCAACCCAGTGCAGGTCCAAGACTACAGATCAGGGGGCATGCCACCAAGGTTCTGCTGGCCAAGATCCGGATCCATGTGTAAGAGCACTGACCATGTACTGAGCTCTTCTGGGGGTAAGGCCATGTTAAGCAATATATACAGTGGACGGCAGAGCAATCAATGGGCTTTCCCCTAAGTAACTCTCACTTTTCTGCAGTAACATAAGCAAATAAGCAGATGTGCTTGAACATGTGCAAGAATTCCACCCAGTGGCCAGCATCACCTGCTCGGAAATCACTGAATACAACTCTCTCTTTCTCTTTTTTTCAAAGATTGATTTATTATGTACACAGTGTCTTGCCTGCATGTATGTCTGCAGACCAGAAGAGGGCACCAGATTTAATTACAGATGATTGTGAGCCAGCACGTGGTTGCTGGGAATTGAACTCAGGACCTCTGGAAGAGCAGCCAGCGCTCTTAACCTCTGAGCCGTCTCTCCAGCCCCCAGAACGCTCCCTTTTATTATTATTTGTGTGCATGAGCTGGGGATGGAACTTAGGATGTCACTTACACAACAAAAACGATCTACTACTTCCGTTTTTAAAAGGATCTTGTTATATGGCCCGTGCTGGTTTACAACTCTTGAGTTCAACCGATCTTCCTGTCTCAGCCTCTAGAGCGCCGGCACTTTGCAAACAAAGGCCACGGCAACGACCCATCAATTTCCTAGTTCGTTCAATATCCCTTCCTGGCCCGGGTACAAAGGGTTGCGTGCTGTGGACAGATGGGTCACCGCGGCCCCAAAGCCAGCCATCCCACCGCTAGCGCGCTTTACACGTTCTTAAAAACACCATGCTAGAGGCCAGGCAGCTGGCTCGGCAGGTAACGGTACTTACCCGAGTTCTATCCCAGGACCCCCTCGCCTCGTAAAAGGCGGAGGTGGGGACCTGACTACACACAGTTGTCTGCTGACTTCCACTCCCACGCTGTGGCACGTGTCTGCGCGCGCACCGCACATACACACAATGGCTACATTTTTATGCTAAAAGATCATGCTAAGCAGAGCACGGCTTGGCCGTCCGCGTGCACGCTGGGTCCGAGGCCGGAGCCCCGGGTGGGACCCGGACTGGACATGAGGCCGGAGCCCCGGGCAGGGATGGGCACGTCAGGTTCGCGGCTCACCTCGGCTGGTGAGGCGCGGAGGCCCACCGCACCTCTGGTCCCTGCCATCCCAGGACTAACGGCCGCGTTACCGTAGCAATCGGCCGCGCCAACGGAACCGGAACTTGCGTCTGGCAGTGACTCCTTCCCGGCGTGCCTCGGACGTCAGAAGCTCCGCCCAGCACCCCGTGTTGTCATCCTGGTGCATCACGGCCGGCCTCGACCGCCCTCATCTTCCTGTGTGAACCCTGATGGACGTCCAATTTGCCCAATCAACGCGCACAGCGGCCGTCCACGCTCACTAACAAGCCTGTAGGACGCGGCTTCCAGGGACCGCCCCCGTCAGGATGTGGGCGATATGATTGGTGGAATTGAGCCAGTACTGTCCAATCACGAGACTCGGCCCGGAGCCTGTCCAATGAAAGCCTCTGGTGGGCCGGCGGTGCTCCGCGGCCACGGGAAGCCCCGAGGTGGCCGCAGAGGCGCTGGGTAGCGAGCGGGCATGAGCGCGTCCCTGGGCCGGGCGGCGGCGGCTCTGCTGCGCTGGGGGCGCGGGGCGGTCGGCGGCGGCGGCGGCCTGCCAGGGGTCGGCGTGCGGGCGGCGAGCTCGGGCGGCCAGGCGGAGCAGCTGGACGCGCTGGTGAAGAAGGACAAGGTGGTGGTGTTCCTCAAGGGGACGCCCGAGCAGCCCCAGTGCGGCTTCAGCAACGCCGTGGTGCAGATCCTGCGACTGCACGGCGTCCGCGACTACGCGGCCTATAACGTGCTGGACGACCCGGAGCTGCGGCAAGGTCAGGCCCGTGGGATAAGGCGGCGAGGGTGCGGTGAACTTGAGCAGATCCCGAGGAGCAGGGGGCCCCGGTTGTGTAGCCACCTGGGGTGGGGGTTCGCGTCGCCTCACCTCGGGGCAGGCTGTCTCTGGCTGCGTCGGAGGAGGGTGGTCTGTAGCATGACCCCTCACCGGCTCAGCTTGCTGAGGGGGACCCGCTACGAGTACCCGCGACTTGTTGGCACACTGGGGACAGTTTGAGGGTCTTGGAAGCCAGCGACCTACTTGCTAGGTCAGGCACTTGCACGGCGTATGTGGGGAGGAGGTTTCAGGCTTGCCCGTGTGTGCCCAGTGAGGTCAAAGGCTGGCCTCTAATGTTTAAGGCCTCGAGTGTCAGGGGCTGGCTTCTTGCTGCAGACAGGGTTGCACCATAGTCCAGCTCACGTTGGGATCTGATTTTGGGGGAAAGACACGAACTTTGGTGTTTAGATGGTGTAGCACAGAAGGGCAGTGTGTAAGGGCTGGGAGAGGCTCAGCGGGAAGAGGAAGCCACGACTTCTGACCCCCACCAGATTAACAAGCTGCCTCGAGGTTGGGGCCCAAAGGGCAGAGGACGGAACAGCAAGACCTGTGGCTTTTCACTGGCCCTAAGGTCCCAGGTACCCTACTCAGTCTTCTGCTTGCTCTGAGTAGGGAAGAGAAAGGCCAGGCAAGAATTGGTCAAGGTAGGCGGAATAATGGGAAACTCTGTTCCCGCTCCTCCTGCAGTGGAATCTGGGGAAGCCTGCTCTCTAGTTCCAGGGACTGAGTAACCCTCCCTCCCCATCTTCCTGACCTAGTGCTCTGGCTTGATCACTCTGTCCAAAGGAGACTTTTCTGTGTTAGAATGGAGTGTTCAGCGTTTGAAATTACTGACTATAGGCATTCTTCATATGACCTTTTTTGTTGTTGTTGTTGTTTTGTTCTCGAGACAGGGTTTCTCTGTGGCTTTGGAGGCTGTCCTGGAACTCGCTCTGTAGAGCAGGCTGTCTTCGAACTCACAGAGACCCGCCTGCCTCTGCCTCCCGAGTGCTGGGATTAAAGGCATGCGCCACCAACGCCCGTGGAGAGCAGATTTGGCTTGAGATCTTCTGTGGTCCATCCTCAGTACAGCCCAACTGCATTTCCTTCTCAGTAAAGTGAAGATCATGACACCTAACGGGGCAGAGTCCACGAGGAAACGAGAAAATAAAAGTTATATTTGGACTAGTAACTCAGCGTCGTAATCCCAGCACTCTGGAGACTGAGGCAGGAGGATCACCAGTTCAAGGCCATACTGCACTGCATTGTGGGAACTCCCCCATCCACTTATACACTGTACATAATATCATCCTATGTGGCACAGAAGGCACTCACTAAATGGCAGCTACTTTATTATGAAACTTGATGGTTTCCAAAGTACTTTTCCCCATGTTGTCTCAAGTAGCCAACCCTACATGTGCTCTCCGTGATAGTGTTGATGGCCAGGCTCTAGGGTAAAGCAGAAGGAGGAAGACAAGTTGTGCATTATGCTCAGAACCCTGTGTTTTCCTCCTCTGCTAACAGTGGCTGTTTGTGAGGCTCTGGGGTTATCTAGCTCATGGCAAGCTGTAGTTTTGGGTCAGAGGTGGCTCCTTGCTGGGGAAGATAAGCACCTACTCTGCAGTCTGAACTGGGACCCACCCACAGTTGCCCTGCAAGCACGCTCTCAGCAAACAGTTGCCTTGTGGATATCTTGCTTACTATGAAGTGTGAGGGTCTTTGGTGTAGAATTTCTGTTCCTTGGTGTAGTGTAACTGCAGGCAAGCTGTAGCGGAATACAACTAATATGAGTACTAAAAGCAAGGAGGTTTGCTGTCTTCTGTCTCACACATTTGACCTCTGGTCTCTGTCATTAAGTGCCCAAATGAGAGAAGAATTTAACCCTTCCTTTTTGATATTTTGTTGTATTACTCAGTTTTATTTACTATTATTATTGAGACAGGCTTGCCAAGCTGGCCTAGAACTCACTGTATAGATCGGGCTACCCCGGAACTCCAATTGATCCTGCTGCCTTCAAGTGCTGGAATTAAGGCGTGAGCTGTCGTGCCCAGCCACAACCCTTCCCCATTTCTTGACTGTTGATTTCATTGGCTTGTTAATGTGGTTAATAAGTGTGTTATCCAAACAATTAAGCATGTGTCTCCTGTGGCTTGGAGAAGTGAAGTTAGTGCAAGGAGGGGCCCACCTACCTGTCTTACTGCAGCACAGGGCCCCCGTAGCATCCCCCCTTCCTTGTCCCTTATGTCAGAATTTCACAAAGGGCTCTGGTTCTCACCCAGGATCCAGGAAGTGTGGTGCAGAGGCTTTCTGTCCTCACTTTTATTACCTGGGGGACACACAGGCCACAGCCACAGGGCTCTTGAACTCAGGGCACAGTGCAGTTCCTTGGGCTCGTCACTGCTGGCATCATGAGATCCTTCCTGTCTGCACACAGCATTTCACCCTGTGGAGGGCAGGGGCTTACGCAATAGCCTGTGGAGCTAGGAATGCCACTTGAGCTGGGCAGGCTTTCTGTCACTTTTGTTACGACTAAGGACTGGTGTTACAGTCACACCACAGTCAGACCATAGTCACACACATCGCAGACTCCTCTGTGAGTGCTCTTTATATCACAAACAGTGTCTGCCAGAGTAGGAGATTGAATGTTGATGAATGCATAAGTCTTACCCTATTTTTTCTTGTCCTTATCACTTGTAAACTTTTTGACGCATAAGCCTATGTGACATTGCCATCTGTGTGTACATTACATAACACCATCAGAGTAGCTGGCTTGACTGTCACTTTGGACATGGTGATGTCTTGGTGCTGGTACATTTGGAGTCTTCCCTGTTAGCTGCTGTCACCCGTAGGTTCTCACTGACTGTCATGTCTACTAGAAGCTCTTTGAATCTCACTTGTCTTCTGCACCCTTCTCCCAGGCATCTTCTCCACAGCATGTAAGTGTTTATGGAGCAGTGTCTAAGCATTCAAGGCAATAGTTGGGCACATACTACTCTGGCGAAAATTGGAGGTTGGATTCTCAGTTGTGTGTGTGCCCTTCTGTGGGCCAAGCTGTGCTGTGGTGTCTGTCGCCAGCACTTTGGAATTGTGACAGTCAGTGTATTGGAGATGAGCAGACTGTTTCCCTTCTCCCAGAGAGATAGTCTAGAGTGGAGACACACTTCCTCTGTGAAGGGCCAGGAGGTCTGTGGACTCCCAGGTCCCTGTCTCGTTTGTTGCTCTGTTGTTGGAGGTTGAAAGTAGACTTGGATGCTGTATAATCAGTGAGCAAGCTGAATTCAATAAAACTTTATTTGCAAATTCAGGAAGAGGTTTAGCCTGATGCCAGCTAGCTACCCCTAGGTCTAGAGGGGCCTATGTAGGACGGGATATATGTGTAAGGTTTTCATGACAACATGGCTTGTAGTGGGGACGAACCCACAAGATGGGATCCTGGTCTGTTAGACTGGATTAGCAGATGGTAGTTCAGTGCTGTAGGGTAAAACTATATATACTGTGCTTAAAACTAACTAGATCCTGGTGTACTTGCCATGGCTAAATGTCAGAGACACACTTGGTCAAAAAGTAAATGGCACAATACTGTCTGTGTATGCTGACGCCTAAGTGGGGAGGGAGGGTACAAGGGTTCCGAGGCTGACTTTAGACTTTGGAAACCTAGAAGCAGTCCTAGATCCACCACATGCTAACTCTGTTACTTTGGGTGAGTTACTTAGCTTCTCTGAACCCTAACATCATCCGTCAAATAGGGATAATTATGTCATATGTCTGTACCGGTTAAATGGGTTATGTATGGAAAATCCTTAGAGTATGAAGCGCTGTACCCTGAGCTCTGCAAATGCTGCTTTCCTCTTACTGTGCGGAATACCCAGGTTGTATCATTCCTTTTTTCTTTTCTTTTCTTTGAGACAGGGTTTCTCTGTATTGTTTTGAACGCTGTCCTGGAACTCACTCTGTAGAGCAGGCTGGTCTCGAACTCACAGAGATCCGCCTGCCTCTGCCTCCCGAGTGCTGGGATTAAAGGCGTGCACCACCAACACCCGGTGGTTGTATCATTCCTGTGTTCTTTCCCCATGCTTTCTGTTTACTGTGTTGCCCAGAAAAGCCCTTTTGTGACAAATAGAGAAGACCCTTGATGGAAGGGTGGTGGTGGTACACATAACCCATGGTCCCTAGCCACTGTGCTAGGAAGTAAATCATTTCACCAATTGCATGCCGTCTGGTCTTCTCAGTAAATCTGCAAGGCAGCGTAGCCCCACTTTGCACAGAGGAAACAGACTGGACAGCTGAACCCCGAGGCCAGTGAGCCCACTCTGTTGAGCTGTGTGCCTGAGCCTTGTCTGCTCTGTTACCAGCCCTTGCCCTCATCTTCTGAGACTGCCATATCCATGCTGAGATGCCCCGGTCTCCAAGGTGGGAGAAATGAAGGAAATGTAGCCCTAGGATGTGACACACCAAGGAT